ACACACCACGTGGCGAATAGACAAAATTACATATGGCGTAGATTTGTTGGTACGCGTAAGTATGCGGGCGATCCGATTCGACGCGTGCCGAGGCCCAATCCATCTAAAGTTGTTTCATCTGTTTTTTTGAAGAGGCCACAGGTACGAACCCATTCCCGGAGAGGCGGCTTGTCAATCCAGCGAACCTCGTGAAGTGATTGACAAGACAATACACTGCAAGCGCCGCCTCTGCGTGCCTACGCTATCGAATCCATAGCCCGCAGGCGAGGACCTTAACATTAAATGGCGTTGATTGACGTCAATAAGGATTTTTGGATCTAATGTACCACGTGCTTGGCCATCCAACGTGTCTGATTCCCCGTTACGCTTAATATAAAAAGCCACACTTAGCACCACAGAAGAATCATGCAAGTTGGCACATCCAAAGTAAACCTCGATTCTCTCTATTACACTCAACGGCCGACCCCCTTTTATGCACAAAGCAATTATAACAATAACATATAAAACGATGTGGATCATTCCCTTCATTGATTAATCAATATAACTAGTTGCTAGATTCGAACATACTGCTATTCGATTTACAAATACACGAATCTCTTATTTTCTGTTGGCCACGAGTTATAATCATTTTTTGGGGTCAACATATATAAATTCAAATCTGTAAATTACCAATTGAAAACTGAAATGAATTATGTTGCCCATACCCAAGCCATAACCCAAATGGATGAGTAACCATTGTCCAATTCCAACTGCACAAGCCCATCTATACTTTGTCGTTTGTTCCTTCACTTGTGCAAGTCCATTTTCTCTTTACTCCTTCACGTAAAAACCTGCCTTTTCTATTTGTATTTTGATTTTGCCTGAACCCCAGAGAGGAATCGACATTGTTTGAGAGTCCGAGACGGCCATTCAGATTTTCTAACTTCTGCAGCTCTCTGCTTGTGCTAATTTTGTGGTTTTTTCCAGTCCATTAAAAAAATTGATTGCCTACTTGCTGTCTGGCTTGATTAACACGTCTTTATTCTAAAATTCATTCGGATTTGAGATTCTGAGGTAAAATTTGATACCTTAGGTTCACCGTTCAGATTTCGGAGTGCAACACAGTGAGTTATTTGAAGTCAGGATCTCCATAGATTTTGAATCAGCCAATTCTTTCGATTTTCTGGGCAAATTTGTGACTTATTAACATCTAACTTGCACAAGTTTAATTAAAGAAATCTTAACTGTTGCTTGATATTAGTAATTAGTATAGTACTATATTTAAGGGATAATTGCAGCTGAGACCCCAATCCTTTCAAACAGTGACAGACTTTTCTCCAGCATTTCAATCGTTGCAGCCATCACCCCAAACCTTTTAAATCGTAACAGCCGAGGCCCCAAGGGACGGTTTCCATCCAACCTATTGTTAGTTGATCCAAAAAATTAATTTTAACGACATTTTAATCAATTAAAAGGGCAAAACAATAATTTAATATTTTCCCCATAAAATAATTAAAAACTTAGATAAAAAACAAAAGAAATAAAATGAAAAAATATCTTCTTCATAAACCCCCAACCCTCACCCTACCTAAAAAAAAAAAAGAAAAAGAAAAAGAACACTATCGGCGGCAACTATCGACCACCGGCCAAAAAAAAAAAAAAAACCAAAACTGACCCACCACCATCGGCAACCACCAAACACCACCAGTAAATCCACCACAACAAGCCCAACTTAGACGAAGAAATCAAAGCAATATGATTTTCATCCGAACTTGTTGAATCTACACTTGGATCTTTAACTTTCACTCCTACCTTTTAGTAGCCAAAATTTAACAAGGGGAGCAATTAATGGTCTTGTGCTGAAAGGAGACCTGGTTCAAGATTTGTGGTTGTAGTGAAATATTCGAACAAGGAAAAATCAGAATTTATTTGGGAATTCAATGGATTTTTAAAAGAAAAATTTGGAAATCAGATTATCGATTCAAGATCTATGGTTGGATTAGGATTATCTCATTGCTCTATCTATTTCCAGCGGTTATTTTTGTGGAAGGGCCTCAATAGTGGTGGAGGTGATGGTTGCTATTGGGTTGCGTTGTTGTTATTCGATTCCAATTTTGAGGATAGAAATGAAGGGAGAAAAGGGCATATCTTATTGTAATCCCGTGGCGGTGGGTTTTATTTTATTTTTTTGGTTTTTGATCTAAGTTTTTTATTATTTTATGGAAAAAATATTAAATTATTGTTTTGCCCTTTTTAAATTGATTAAAATGTGGTCATAATTAATTTTTTGGGTTAACTAACGACAGATTGGATAGAAACCGTCCATTGGGGCCTTAGCTGTTACGATTTGAAATGTTTGGAATGATGGTTACAACGAATGAAAGGTTATTGGAAAGTCTGCCACAGTTTGAAAGGTTTGGGGCATCAACTGTAATTATCCCTATATTTAATAACAAAAAGACTAGAGACTAGAGTTTAGAGAGGGAAGAAGAATACTTT